TTTGCGCAGTGCTGCCTTTCTGTGAATATATAATGTTGGAAGAGAACAAGATTTGTCTAATTTTGGACAAATAGTGTTTACAAATATATCTTATTAAGTATCAATATATTTAACGCCATCAACTTGTATCGTGAATTATTTGACGCGAATGAAGCCATGTCAATATATGCTATCACATATACAATGGTTGTTTATATGGTTTAACTATATGTAGTTTACGAGAACCGTGTGCGAGATGCAATTTAGTGTATATTTAGCCTTTCATCAAGTGTTGAAATGAATTTTGATTGACTTTGCCCTTAGTCCACATTTTCCATTTATATTGTCTAATTAAGATTATAATTGTTCAACTTTTAAGCATATGTCAGCACAATTGAACTTTAAATTTTAGAATAACGTTATTTTCCAATTGAATGATTAAAAATCAATATACATTCTGCTGAACATTTTCAACGAAACTCCTTCACCCCTTCCAAACTCCGCACATGGAAACGTATGCCAAATGGTTTGTATGGAATTGTTCCCATACCTTCGTTAATTCATAGAACTTATAACTTGCGCTCTCGAGTGACGAGGGGATTCTGTGACGTGAATTACCATTACCATATGCAGTAAAATTAACATGTTGTTCTAATGTTTATTGTTGTCATGTGGGATTCAAATTTTAATTGTTGTCATGTGGGATTCAAATTTTAATTGTTGTCATATGGGATTCAAATTTTAATTATTCTCATGTGGCATTCAAATTCAAATATCCAAATGTATATACATCGTCTGCGTGGTACTATATTCTGGGTCTGATTGGAGTAAATCATTCTGCCGAAGACTGAAGGGATACTCACACTTTAGGATAGACAGGCATTTCATGTACTCACATGTATGTCTAAATAACACACGTGTTACTGTCATGGCAATCACTCTATAATTACAATTCAAATTGATGATAATGATGCTGATTGTGATGGCGCTATACATTGTTGCATATGTCAACTACATATATTAGCAATACATGGATATTGTGATGATGTGCGTCATGAAAACTCCCTGTTGCTATAATTACTACGACAAGTTACAAAGTGACAGTTATAGTCGCATCGATCTATTGAGAGTGCACTGCAATTCATTACTACATCTTCCGATAGGAGATATAGCACATTTTCTGCCTAGTAACCTGAAACTATTTCTCTCGCGTTTTCTAGGAATCTTTTCTTGCGTGGTGTTATTTTCCATTCGATATAAGTGTCATCAGGCAGGTGTTATTTATTCTTCAGTAACTTTGGATGTTCAGGACGGTAAGCATTTTTCAAAAATTGTTATTTTCTCTGTCGCTGGTTCAGTTTACTCAATGTTCTGCCGGACACTGTAAGTGAAACATGTAAACAGTGCTTGGAATGGATCAGGCAAATACATTTGACGCTGTCATGTGAATATATAATGTTGGAAGAGAACAAGATTTGTCTAATGTTGGACAAATAGTGTTTACAAATATATCTTATTAAGTATCAATATATTTAACGCCATCAACTTGTATCGTGAATTAGTTAACGCGAATGAAGCCATGTCAATATATGCTATTACATATATAATGGTTGTTTATATAGTTTAACTATATGTAGTTTACGAGAGCCGTGTGCGAGATGCAATTTAGTGTATATTTAGCCTTTCATCAAGTGTTGAAATGAATTTTGATTGATTTTGCCCTTAGTCCACATTTTCCATTTATATTGTCTAATTAAGATTATAATTGTTCAACTTTTAAGCATATGTCAGCACAATTGAACTTTAAATTTTAGAATAACGTTATTTTCCAATTGAATGATTAAAAATCAATATACATTCTGCTGAACATTTTCAACGAAACTCCTTCACCCCTTCCAAACTCCGCACATGGAAACGTATGCCAAATGGTTTGTGTGGAATCGTTCCCATACCTTCGTTAATTCATAGAATTTATAACTTGCGCTCTCTAGTGACGAGGGGATTCTGTGACGTGAATTACCATTACCATATGCAGTAAAATTAACATGTTGTTCTAATGTTTATTGTTGTCATACGGGATTCAAATTTTAATTGTTGTCATGTGGGATTCAAATTTTAATTGTTGTCATATGGGATTCAAATTTTAATTATTCTCATGTGGCATTCAAATTCAAATATCCAAATGTATATACATCGTCTGCGTGGTATTATATTCTGGGTCTGATTGGAGTAAATCATTCTGCCGAAGACTGAAGGGATACTCACACTTTAGGATAGACAGGCATTTCATGTACTCACATGTATGTCTAAATAAAACACGTGTTACTGTCATGGCAATCACTCTATAATTACAATTCAAATTGATGATAATGATGCTGATTGTGATGGCGCTATACATTGTTGCATATGTCAACTACATATATTAGCAATACATGGGTATTGTGATGATGTGCATCATGAAAACTCCCTGTTGCTATAATTACTACACACAAGTTACAAAGTGACAGTTATAGTCGCATCGATCTATTGAGAGTGCACTGCAATTCATTACTACATCTTCCGATAGGAGATATAGCACATTTTCTGCCTAGTAACCTGAAACTATTTCTCTCGCGTTTTCTAGGAATCTTTTCTTGCGTGGTGTTATTTTCCATTCGATATAAGTGTCATCAGGCAGGTGTTATTTATTCTTCAGTAACTTTGGATGTTCAGGACGGTAAGCATTTTTCAAAAATTGTTATTTTCTCTGTCGCTGGTTCAGTTTACTCAATGTTCTGCCGGACACTGTAAGTGAAACATGTAAACAGTGCTTGGAATGGATCAGGCAAATACATTTGACGCTGTCATGGTAACGTCTGAAAGCAGTAGAACAGTTCTATGATTATGATCAGAATTTGCTACTATTTACAATTATAACGGCCAAAGGGTTTGCTTTGTACACGTAATGCGCTTCTGTGCAAATATTATAACTATGATACACAGGTAATTTCGGAGGGCGTCAGTACGAGTTGTTCAATGCATACCACGAGTTCCCTAAAAAACATTGATTATGAGGTTTATGTTGAGCAGAATGTCCATTTTAGAAACGTCACCTCTCAACAATCTCATGCGGTCAATGTACCTTTTCCTTTCGGATTTGACCATTAATTCGTGCATGGTTTATCTGTAGGTTTGTGTTTGTGGGTTGTTGAAAACTCGTTTCTTTATGTTGTTGTTTCTGTCTAGATGTAATACGTTACAGACGTTTGTCTCATCAAGATCATGGATGAAAATTTTAAATAATTTTAATTATATAAATATGTTTTTTTTCATGGACCGCGACTCATTTATTTTTATGATGTCGTTATTGTGTCTATAAAACAGATCATCATGAATACCAAATGACAATATTTGAATTGCCAATATTTAAAAGAGACTTTTTCTTTTCTTTCAGAAGACAAAATAGTATTTCTATAACAGCTCCGGTATTGATCTAAGCGCTTGTAGCACTAACTCACAAATCGATCAACATTACAATCTGGTGATTAATGAAATGATCAATAAAATTTTTCACTATTTGTTTTCTACGGAGAATTTGATGTTTTATTCATAATTTAGTAGTTTTTATGAAATTGGTGCTAGTAATCATGAAATTGTTCAATGGATAGTAGTTATAAATGTACTGTAGAGTACTGTTTACAAAACCGTTAATTTAGAGCGCATAATATCTGTCCATTGATTATTAAAACAATGCTCCTTTTACAATGAGCGTGCACATTCACTAGCAAACTTTTGTGCAATTAACATACTTCAAAATGTTATATAGATTGTCCTCGTGTACAGAAAAAGGATATATGTCGTTGTCTGATATTAACTAATGGCACAATTATTGTGCCGTTTTCAGCCTTCATAGTGTTTTGATTTGTCGTCGTACATCTATATTCTGTCTATGCACACTCTGAAGTAAGTAACATTTTTATTAAAAATGATTTTCAGTTTTAAAATGTTTCGCACCAGCATCCTGGTGTCAACCAGACCAGATCGAACAATATCACCTTTAGACCTCACCCATGGCCTCCCAAAGTCTCATTCATTGGTGGTAGAACCTTTGTCAGTGGCTTTAACCTCTTAGGGGTCGATGCTATTTCTGTGTTTGTAATTCCGATCAAACAACCACTGCGCTGCCTGTGATTTTTTTAAATATGTATACAGATGTACGAAGTGTGTTCGGAGTTAAAGGGTACGACTTTGCTCAGATGCTTAAGTTGTTTTAGTCTGAACGTGTAAGCATCATTGAAATACTAACGAGGATGTTTAAAAAATTACTAGCTGATGTAAAACACGTAACATGTTAACATATTATAATTTTAGCTGTTTACCACGATGTTTTAAGTAAACTAACAAACAAGTGACATTTTGTTATGAAAAATTGTGACTTCTGACAATAAACTCAGTAAACATTTGTATTACCGATATTTGAAAAAAAAAATTAAAAAGACACGAATTATTTAAAACGTTTGTAAAATAAACAATGGATGCAAAGCAAATAAAGTTGAATATTCCTTATTCATATATTATTGTTTTGCCTGCGTCTACAACGAAAATCTACAAAATTTGTTTTACTTGCTTTCGCGCGATACGTCATGGATTTAAAATCGAAATACCAAACAGAAATAGGTCGACTAAAACCAAGGATTAAACAACATTGCTTGAGTAAATTATTCAGCATTTGTCCGTAAAGGTTGTTGGAACAAATCTTTAATATTATTGAATCGTTCATAGTTGTTGAATTACTGTCTCAGTCTGGGCACGGTTATTTTTTAGTAACCATGGCACTGATTTAACATAAATCCGTGACCGTCACAATTATCCTCATACTAATTAATTGGTGCAGTTCTCCACTATAAGAACTAACTCCGCCCAGATACACTGACTAAAAGTGTAATAGGACAAGAGATAACTACATTCCATCACCTTTATTTGATGCATCAAGTGACATATTAGTTATAATTTTTCTATTTGCGTTTTCAGATAAGTACGTAATGGCTATGGGTACAGACAGACTGATCTTGCTCATCGCTATCATTGTATTCATCAATACATGTACAGTATATACTGACAATTATACGTTCTGTCTACTAGCCACGACTCGCACCTTCCTACCCTTCAGTGTTTACAGAATCGGCGGTGCCGTCAACGTTGCTTTAGACAACATCCATTCAGATATACTGACCAACATTACGCTGGATTTTATTTTCTACGATAGTGGTTGCGATAGCAGGGTTTCTTTAGACAAGACTGTCAACTGCGTTTTGAATGACCGTGTTGCGGCAATAATCGGACCTGATTGTTCATCGGCGGCTCTAGCAGCGGGACTTTTGGCCTCGCAGTGGAACGTCCCAATGGTCGGATACATTGGTTCAACATCCTATTTGTCCGATAAAACAGTATACGATACATACAGTCGGACTTCGTCACCTTACTCTAAATCCTCTTTAGCTGTTATAGAGACTATTGAAGTCTTCGGATGGAAGCATGTGGGCGTTGTAGGGGGTGACACCGGTCACCTGCTTAATAGTTTTGAATCACTGAAACAAGAATTAACGAGAAGAAACTTTTCCATTGAAGCAATTGTGTTTAATGTCTATGATGAATCTTTATATGAAGACATATTGAATGAGATCCTCTCGAAAGCGAGAAGTGAGTATGTTACTTCCACTGTATTAAAAGGCTGAATGTAGCAATTAGCAGTCGACCTTATTCGCAAATGTCTCGTTGAGATGAGTAAAGCACGTGAATTGTCTTGGTCCTTCAATTAGTGTTTCATTCTTTATATATTGTCATTGCGTAACATGTTCTAAATATTATGGTCAAATATATTAGGGAACTAGTGTATGCGGTTACGGTAGAAAATCACTTTTTGGCGTGGCAAGACAAGTCCCGTTGCTCTCTCTTGCATGCAGGGCTGTACGAGAACTCGTAGACATTCTTTGTAACATTTTTAGTTTCTCGGATTATGTGACGGAATAAATAATTTCTGTTTTCCTAAATGTTCTTAACAATCTGAGAATTCTCGGGCGGGGGGACATCCAGACTTTTTCAACGCCTGGCAATGGTTGAAAACAAAGGCCGAAAACTGTCAGAAAACGGTACTTTGGGATGGTTGTTGAGACTCACCCCCAGTGTAACAAGATCACCCCTGCATGTTCAACATACATACATTTGATTGTTCAAGATTACTTCAAAGTTGATTTTGTGTTGTTTTCTCGAATTTATCTATTTTCACCGGCTCTTCGGCCGACGTTGAACACCAGCTCGAGCAGAGCATATAGAAATACTTGGTACAGTGGTGCGCGTCTAAGCAACGTGGAACGTCTTGTGGCGTAGCTCCGTCCCCGAGTATAGTCTTTTTTTGAATATTTATTCTAGATTCTATCTAGGTACATTTCATTCACAGTATGTACATATATACAAGAAAATATACAACCGTTCTAGGGGGTAATCGACGTTTGTTTTATGTTTTATATTTGTTATGTATTAGTTATAATTTTAGCTCTGGATTCATATGAAGTTCGTCGTTTGATGTTGATGGTCTATGACAAAGGATACCTATCAAGAGGAGAGTACATGTTCATTGTTGTCGAACCATGGAACTTTGGATCTTATGAGGTAAGCATCTGTTTAATGGTGATCCTCTCGACTCATTTCTGTTTGTGTTAGTAAAATCCAAATTGTTGATGTCGTTGATCCAAATTGAAAATTCAATAGATTTGAAAACAAAACCAAAGACCAGTATATGATTTTAATTATGTATATTTGGCTTAATCTTAACATTAAATTTGGAGGAATTCTATATTTGTAATTATGCTTTATAAAGTTATGTATTATGCTCTGTTGGTGCAGTATTGACTATGTGCTAATATTGCAGGGCACCACGTGGCAATGGGCAGACGACGGAAGGGATGACGATGTAGCTAAGGCGTATGAATCTCTCCTTGTAGTAGAGAGAATAAATTTCGAAGATGACACCTACAAAGCATTTGCAGAAGAGGTAAAGGAAAAATTCAAAGAACCTCCTTGGTATTACAATATGACAGACGTTTCGAGCGTAAGTAAAACTTTAATAAAATAAATATCTTTTTTTGCTTTTTTTTTATTTAACTTGAATGCTATTTTTTTAATAACGTCCATTTGTTGGAATAAAATCAGAAAACAAAGTGTTTGGAGAAAGTTGAGAAAGTCATTGCAGTCACTTCCACGGCACTCTGACATTTTTATCTGACGATTGGTGAAATACGTTGAGTTTGTGAATTTCTCAATTCATTCCAATAATTTTATACTGGATAAATTTTGTGATTCACACTGCTGAAATGCGGTTACTAAAACAGAGTAACTGTGGCTGAAAGTAGCATTTACTGTGTATTTCGCAGATTATTTTTTCAGTAAACAATGTATGTACAATATATGTATGACTGCAAGTCACTTGTTATAATCCATTGAATATAATACTTCATACTTCAAAAATAAGTGTTATTTTGTGGGAGAGCGGTCGTGAGAGATGTATGTTAGATCCCAGTTCCGGTGTTGAGGGACTGTGGTTAGATGTAGTTATGCATGATATTCGATGTGATAAAATAAATTACACGTGGTGATACGGGCAATATCACGATTTCTTGCCTGCTCAAGGGATAGTGGTCATGACCATATACGTACATGCTTCATTTACCAGGTTGGATCACTATCAGCTTATCTCTATGACGCCATTATATTATATGCCCTTACGTTACAAAGGGTAGTCAGTAATGGAGGAAACCCATACAATGGCACAAATTTCTTACGTGAAATGCAGCATATTGATTTCTACGGTATGTATTCATATTGTCAATGAAAAACCAGCGATATATCATATCGTAAATATTATATAATATATGATATATATATACATTAGATGTTTTATACAATATACAATATATAGGGTAGTACAATATCGATCGATTATCTTTGTGGTCCCGATCATTATGCTAACAGCAATAATTATCATCTTCCAGGCATTAGCGGCCGTGTAACGATAGATAAAAATGGTGATAGAAACCAAGATTTTTGGTTATTCGGATTTGATGCTGCACAAGATGAGTACTCCAGGGTCGCTTGGTACGACAGCTCTGGGAAGATGCTCCGATTTGTAACCAATGCAACCATTACGTGGCCAGCCGGAAGACGAGTGCCACCACGTGACATACCAGAATGTGGTTTCCAAGGAGAATATTGCATAGATTCAGAAAAAGGCAAGTCTGTGCAAGCTAAATTAGTTTCTGTATATGGCATGTCTATTTAGTTACAGTAAGGCAATAATTCGTGCTATTTCGAACCGTCGGTTTTGGAACAGTTTGTGTTTCGAGGTGCTTTGTCGTAGTCACAGTTCTAGTCTAGTGTGTTCAATGATCGTAATGTGTCTGCACTGATAAATCAATTATGTAGTTTGATATGTGGCAAACTATGATGTAATTACATCATATGTTATTGGTCTCTTTAAGTTGTATAAATGCTCCAGGACAATGAGCAACTGTCTTAGAATATTGAGCTATTTTGAGGTTATAAATTTTCCGCGTAAGATTTGAAAAATTCAATTAAAAAAGTCTCAGCATCGAATAAGGTAACACATCCCTATATAGGTTCGGCTATTTGTGGTGACTATATCGTAGTATATATTTGTAATTAAAGCAGTGCACTAACAAAAAGTTGACGACTACAACTTCAAAGACAGAAGTAAATAAAAGAAAAAAACTGATAAATATGGTGTAAATATGATTTCCAACGTAAACGCTTTTCTGATATTTTGTTGCGATACACACTAATACATTTCTTAAACAAAATGCAACCGTTTTAAAATATACTATTTTACTTCTGCGACATGGTGCGTAAGCTGTGCTGTAAATATATAATAATTTGTTTGATACTAATGTTTTAAACAGCAATAATAAATTTTAAAGTGTAATATTTAATCGAATATATAATGTAATGTAAATATGAGTGTACATGCCTTGATGGCTCGTTTCAAATTAAGTAATCGTTTTACAGATGTTTACTACGTAGTTCCGTGTTCTGCACTACATCCATTGAGTGATACACTTTAAACGATAATGGACAGAAAGAGTCTTTCGTCTAACTCGTCCACATACGTGTCACTATAAATGTTTTTGGGGGACATGAATACAGGTTATGGCAGCCTGCTTACTGATACTTTAGGAATTTAAAAAATATGCCCGCCAGCTTTTCATACCTTAATTCAGGGACAAAATATTCGTTTATTTGACTCGTGGTCGTGCGACTAGGATATTTACCTGCGGAAACGTCAATGTACGTGTAATTCAATAATCCGAATCAGGAGTAAGTGCACACACAGTAACTGTAGTCGTTGAAAGATTTCGTTTAATATAAATTATCGAGGAATCATTGAAAAAATGACCCACATTTTGTGATTCGGAATGAATATATAATAATGACGAAAAAACATCAAATTTACAAAGTACATGATTTTTGTTGTATATTCCATTGTATGTACTTTTAGTGTTTATTATTTTCAGGAACGACTTTCATTATATTAGTCGTTATGCCGTTATTGTTATTCTTCTTGGCTGCTGCGATCATTGCGTTTGTTGTTTATAGAAGAGAAAAAATCAAATCCGCTCTCTTGGATACATCATGGAAGATAAATTATCAAGACATCATCATACACAAGAACTGGAAGGTAGATATTGATCGACATTGTCATGGCGACAGTATCCATTGGAGATTTCATTTATATGCAGATCCGCTTTGAAATTGGTAACATATATGACAGGAAATATAAAGAATTGAAAAGTCGGCAGTACTCAGTATCTTACTGTCTATTAATCTTGGGGTGCGCGGTAGTTCCAACTGAGAAAATTGATAGAAAGAAAACGATGCAGGAACGCAGTATCCGCACACCATAGGCCCGAATTTATGATTAGTTTGATTCTAATGTTACAGCTACGCCGTACAGTTGATTCTTGGAATAATGCATAATATAGTACCATACATGGGTGGACTTCGATTCTCGTGTTCATATGTTTCGTAATATGCCCGTAATTGAGCTTATATGCTCCACACTGCTGGTGGACATCCTGTAACATGTCCCCGTAACTGAGTAGGTCATATCGACCACAAATATCTGGCTTCATATGCATGACGTTGTAAGTTCGGCTTATGCATGTTCATCTAGTCACTGTGAGGACGAATCATTTTTTTTTGAAGCGGTGACTCTGGGGACTGGGGTGCCCGTATAATTGCATTGAGAAGGCGCTTTGCCGTGGTCATGGGTTCGAATTTCACTTGTGTGTGTTTAAATGACTTAACATTTCAAAAGTAAATTGAAAAAGTCTTAGTTCTGTCATATCGTAATATATGCATGTCATTGGGAATATGTTGTTTTCCTACGATTCCATAATTTTATATTGTTTTTTAGCTCTTCATTATTAATGCTCTGTTTGAGGTTGAATCTGCAACTGCAGAACGAAACAGCAATTTATAATTATTGCGTTGTATATATGTTTAAGTAAACGTTTTAAACACCAAATTATTGAATCTCCATCGAAACACGGACCACAAAATAACTATGGAGACATGAAACAGGAGATTTAAATGCTGTGTGATATGAAACTCAAAGCTGTCGGAACAGTTAGTCTTCCTCGTGCACTACAGAAGCAAATGTGATTTCAGAATTAATGTTTACTGAAGTAACATCTATTTGATTTTACACCTCGCATCACTTTAAAAGTGCCTACAACCGAGGCATGTGTTTTTTTATTCACAGTCAATACATGGTAGTTTTATAGCCGGGAGTATTGGACCATCACGATTAAGATCCTCGAATTCGGCTACTGACAGTTCGATTACTGAAAGCGAACGCCCACAACAAGTGTTCGCAGTATGTGGCACTTATGATGTGAGTAATACCGTTCTACATCTTCGCTATTTGTTAAAGGCAATTTACTCGACCGAAAAAACGAATCGTTTTGGGAATTATGCGATAATTGTATATTCGGATTTCTGACATGATTTTCTTAATGATTAATTTAAATTTCTATGTACCACGGTAAAATGCTGCTGTCGTGATGGCAATTGTTTATGGGAGTTATTTTATTTTACCCATAGGGATCATCCGTAGTAATAAAAATGGTGGAACGTTCTGCTGTCAATCTCAGCACAAGTCTACTGCTGGAATTAAAACAGGTAAGGGAACTGCATTTACAAATTACCCTCTGATGAATACTTACTTGCAAACATAAAGGTCATATATTTCATATAGAGAATGCGCCCTAGCAACTGCAAATACAATCACGGAGAAAATGCGATAGTATTAGACGTTCTTTTAAATCAAACATTAAAAAAAGGTCAAAAGTTGGTACAACATTGTATCTACATATAATGCGCCTCGAAATGTGTTATCAAGTTACTCTTTTTTGTTACCAGGATATAGTGTCACAACTAAAAATGTATAAACCATCGAAGAATAACAAAAAATTACATTGTATTAAGTTATTCATAACCCTCACTGGCGTATGTTATTTCCACTCGCGATTTGTTAGCCAATGACATTGCACCATCGATAGACCGCATCACAATGTCACGCAGTACGAAATGCGATCGTGCGTGGGATTACACGGTTCAGCCTTAGGCTGCGAACAAAAGATTTTCATTAACCCTCATTGAACCAAGACAGCAAAACAGATTTGTGCATTTGTGCGTCAATATAATTAAGTGTTGGCGGCCACGAACTTGGCGTGAACTATATAATAGTTAATACGCATGCGTAGTTTCTCTCAAACTTACTTGTCTTCGCCATACGAATCCTGCAATTTCCAAGTAATGACTGATGTTAAGTTGTTTTACCTGCAATTTTACAATTAGATTCCGTACACGTATCGTCAGCATATTTTGCCATTAAAAGAACTTTGAAATGGCGCGGTTCCCCTTGACAGACGTGCCGTTATTTAGATTATATTAAGATAACACAATTTAATTTTCAGGACTTGCCCTTTGATCGCATTTCTATAACCATTTCGTTTATCGTCCATTCTCTTAAAATAATAAATAATTGAACAACATAGACGCAGCTAAATTATGGCAAGTGATTCCCAAGATTTCGTCTTTCTCCTTCTCTGAAAATGCGCTGATAACTACATGAAAATATATTTGCGTGATTCGACGACTATATAGTTGTGTATTATTCCAATAGTGTTTTATGTATGCATAAGACCAGAAAATAGCTGAATATCTTTATGCAAATTTCTCTGAATGAAGAATAATCTGTGGTGCGTTTTAAAGGGTGGTAGTCGTCGTACCGCGTCCTGTTCGATATGGGACTCATAGCGACGTATACAATGCGTGCAAAATACATTGTTTATTTACATGAAATTCAAACACGCGCTGTGCGACGACCACTGCGATTTAAAGTATTTTCGTCGTGACACGCATCCCCTTAGACAAACAGACGTGTACTGACGTCATCATGATCAGTTCATAGGTCAATATTATTTGATTGCATAGATTAGTGCACGACACCCACTGTAAGAGTTTTTAGATAGAGCCCCAAAGGGAACATTTTGAAATAACAAGGTCAATTTAATTGTGTACGCAGTGATAAAAATAATTATTACTCAGAGCGACAACGACTATTTGATAGTTTTACAGCACTGATAAAATTATATGACAGATTATAATCAGCAGTTGTTTGCCGATGTACCGATATTTGTCGGTGGTTAGCTCGAAACTATACGAGTGTTGTCGATTAATTTGAAAGGCACTACACCAATTTGCATATTTTCCAAATGCATAACATAAAGCTGTCATTGCATCTCAATATATCCACACATTTCTTGCGGAATCTATTATGGGTGTGCCCGGCCTCAATTTGACCTGTTTCACTCACGCTTTTCGAAGCTTTGTCTGATGTAAAATATGAAATTCTGTGTTCTTCTGTGTGTTCCTTGTGCATGGAGTTAAGCTCAAACTTAAATACACCCAAATTATAACATTTTCAATGAAATACTTATTCATAATTGTAAGGTATGTACTTTGCTTTATGTGTGCTGTAAATTATGTGTTTGTGTTGAAAGGTCGGTGGAAGGCGATTTTAAAGTGACTAAGTCACTCATCATTTTGGAGTTTGTAAGCAGTTAAGCAGAAAATACCCATGATGTTCTGCTTCATTTTACATGTTGCTATTTTCTCTGTGGATACAATATTGTAAATGTACATGAATATAACGTATCTGTTATATGAAACATATGCCCCACTACTGCATGTGTAAAGAATGATGTTGTTAGTTCAGTATTTTGCGGAGAAGATGTTAGTAGCATGGCGCTCCGTGTGTGTAGCTAGCTGACTTGGCGGTAAATTGTTTATCCAGGGTATTGGCGATCCGCTCCGCTA